GGTCTAGGTCCCATTTTAGGCACTGGGGATACAGCATTTAAGGAAACCCTTCTTTTGCAGATTTTAAATCTTATTGATAGGATGTGTGTGTGTGTGTGTGTGTGTGTGTGTGTGTCTAATACAGGAGACATGTGAAGAAAAAAATAATGCAGCGAAGGGGCGAGAGTGAGCTGTTGTAGGGGAGAGATATTTATTCTTTAAATAAAGCTCACGGAAGACTTTGCTGCATAGGTGGCATTTGCACAAAGAAGCTCAGTGAGAGGAAGAAGTGAGCCCTGAGGATATCTGGGGAAGAATAGTCCAGGCAAATAAGGAGATGGAGGCTCTCTGGTGTGATGGAAGGATCAGTTACTCTGGCCAGATTGAATTGGATTTGAATCTCGCCTTCACTATTTAAAAGGTAATCACTGATAACTCTTAAATCCGGATCTCCAGTACAAACCTCCCCTCTGAACACTAGTCATATATGAGGGGGTTTCAAAAAGTTCATGGAAAAATTCCATCATCTTTACATTCCATTTCCCATGAATTTTTTGAAGTGCCCTCGTATATACAAGCACTTAGAATCACCTCCTCAACATTTCTACTAGGGTATCAGAACTGCTGAAGATCTTACTTCCCCAATCCAACCCTCTCCAATTCTTCCCTGCTCAGCAAATGATCCCCTGTCTATCTACTTGTTGAGGCTCAAATCCTAGGAACGATTTAAAAACATTTCGGGGGGATTGTTATTTAAGTGCCATTGAATCACTTCCTACTCATCGAGACCCTGTATAGGGTTTCTGAGGCTGTAAATCTTTGTGGGAACAGAAAGTCTCATCTTTCTCTAGCTGGTAGCTCAAACTGCAAACCTCTGGATAGCAGTCCAGTGCTGATCCTTCAGAATCACAGTGCTTTTAAGGCTCAATAACTATGTTTTTGTTGTTAGGTGCTGTCCCAACTCATAGGGACCCTGACTAGGATTTCTGAGGAACAGTAGGTGGACTTGAACCATTGACCTGGCAGTCCAAACTGACCTTTCAGTTCAGTGTATTATCCTGCAGAGTCCTAATGTGACTCTAGGATAAGCACAGGACTGCTAACCAAAAGGTCAGTGGTTCAAACCCACCAGTCACTCCTCAGAAATCCTAGTCAGGGTTTCTATGAGTTGGAACCTACTCAACAGCACTTAAAAACAATAACTGTATGTTGAAGCAATAAATGAATCTCCACCTTTGCATTCTTATATGTTCTACCCTAATGTTCTATCCTTGAATGGTAAAGAACAATTAAGCACTGGGCTACTGGCAAAAAGATAATACACATTATGGTACTATAAGATAAGCACTAGACTGCTAACCACAATGTTGGTGGTTCAAGCCTACTGGCTACTCTGGAAACCCTATAAAGGATCACTATGAGTTGGAACCCAGTGGATGGCACTTAACAATAGCATTTTGTAGACTAGACAATAAGAGTTTTTGTAAAGTTCAGAACAATGCACTGTATCCTTCATGATCTCATTTCTAGTCCACTATTATGTTGATTCCATTCCATAGCTAATCCATCAGTAAACACTGTTGGCTCTACATCCAAACTATATACCAAATGTGACAGCCAAATCTCAGTCAACCAGTTTATAATCCACACATTATTATAGCCTACCTGTCTCTCTGGAGTCCTGGTGTGGCACTGTGGGTTAATGCGCTGGATTGCAAAGTTGGTTTGATTTGCAAGTCGGCGGTTCAAGCTCATCAGCTGTTCCCTGGAAACCCTATACTGAGTCAAAACTAACACGACTGCACTTAATAACAACACCTGTCTCTCTGAAGGAACACTGGTATCTTAGTGGGTTACAGGTTGCTCTGCAACAAAAAGATGAGGCTTTCGGCTCTTGTAAAGATTTACAGCCTTTCCTATACAGGATCACTATGAGTCAGAACCAACTCCATGGCACACCAGCAATCTGTCTGCCTACCTCTCCACACAGCCTTCGTTCTCCCCTGGAACATGTCTAATCTGTTTCTTTTGCATTTACTTTTCTTCTGACAGAAACACTTTCCAAGGTTATTTGCCTGACTTCTCCTGAACATTCAGGTCTCAGCTCAAATGTCGCTTTCTTAAGAACCCTTGTCTGATGCCCTTGTGTGTCTCCATCACAGAAATCATCTTTTTCCTTTTTAAAAAAAAAAAATCCTTTGTATTTGTCGGCTGAATTTCCAGGGCCTATGTAGGATAAGCACTGGACTTTTAACTACAAATGTGGGCGATTCAAATCCACCAGCAGCTCCTTTGGTCACTATGAAACACACTAAACAACAACAAAATGCCCAGCACATAAAGGCTTTTGTTAAATATTTTGTGGATTAACTGACTTTAGGCAGGTTACTTCTTTCTTTAAACCTCAATGTCAATAGAAGTCAATAGAAGAGGGATAATAATCCCTATCTTGCATGGTAATTTAAGGACACTAGTAAATTCCTACTGTGACTCTGTGGAATTTCTTATTCAGTTCTATTAGACAGATAAGCATACTGACAAATCCTCCCCTCTAGTAAAAAACACTAAAGGTAGAAAGAAGCCCATGCAGCCATGGTCCCACTACGTAGCAGGGATCATCGCCCTTTTAAGAGGCGCGGATACCCCTCCCCCTCCACGTTTAAGGTACCAAAGTTACTGCAGGTCACGTGAGGCTCACGGGTTTGCCCCGCCTTTAAGAGGCGGAGTCTCATCTAAAAGACTCCTGAAGAGCCTCAAGTCCAGACAGGGAAAAGGGGAGGAGCCGGGCGCAACAGCCACGGTAACAGCACTTCCGGACAGGACGCTCCGCCCCTTCCCCCCGCCCATTTCTAGCGCCGGTGCCGGGTGGGCAGAACCCGCGGGTGCTGATTAAAGGCGCCGCCGCTGCCCTGCCGCTTTCTCCTCACCTCTCTCTTCCCCGCCCCCTTCCCGTGTAGCGGGACCGGCCTTAATGTAGGAACGGCACCCCCCCCCCCTCCGATCCAGCTCGGCTCCCTGCAGCCCCTTGCCCTTCCGCGTCCCCACCCTGCGGGTTGCACTCTGCTTCAGGCCCATTGTATCCTCCGTGGCTGCGGACTCTGGGCCGTGGCGGGACCCTTGCGCGCCCCTCCAGCCGGTCTCGCGGGTCAGAGCCCCTCCCCGACCACCGTCTTCGCAGCAGCACAGCCGCGGCGAGGACGCCTTTTCCTCTCGTGAAGGTGGCGGGGGCCGCTTGCACGGCAACGGGACGCACCCCCTACGCCAAGCCCCAGCGGCAAACCCTGCGCCCCCTTTCTGGAGGGCTAAGAGCCCGAGCCTGAGCGAGCAGAGGCAGGAAAAGGCAGCCACAGACTGCCTGGCCAGCCGATCATTTTTTATTATCGAGATTATTATTAAGAGGGGGCGGGGAGCCCAGGATGCGGGGGAGGGGGCTTGAGACGCAATTATTTTTATTAAATAGATTATCCCTGAAATAATAATACGCGCAAGATGGCTGAAGGTGGCTGTGATGAGTGTTGGGGTTAGATTTTTCTCATTTATTTTTTATTTGGGGATAAAGCTCCGAGGCGACAGCCTCTGTGGAGACCCTGCCAGGAGTACCCTCCCCTCAGCTGCGAGGCAGCTGGGCGACAAACGGACCCATGGACTGAGCGACGGGCGCAGGCCCGCTCCGGACGCCTAGTTCGCGCAGCTATCAGGGGCCGCGAGCGCTCGCCTTTTCTGCCGACTTCTTTCAATTCTAATCTTTTAATATTTTTTTTTATTTGGAAAGCACCGGGGTGGGTGGAGCAGAGGTGGAAAGCAATCCGGACTTGGCATTTTCTTCTCTTTCCCGTTCCTAATTTGCCGGAGGCTGCCAGCCCACCCTTTTAAAAAAAAGACACTTAAAAAAAAAAAAAAAGCAAAATAACGCCGCGGGACCCTGGAGCGAATGGACCGGGATTCCGGCCGCTGCTGCCGCCTGAAGCCCAAGATGGCTGGGCGCTGAACGAGGCGGCCCGACCCCGCCGGCCCGGCCCGCAGCCCGAGCTTCCCAGGCCGGAGCAGAGGCCGAGAAGAAAAGAAAGTGGGGGGGCGGGGGGGAGAAGAGGGCCAGGCGACGGAGGGGGAGGGCCGGAGGGGGAGGGCCGGGGCCGAGCCTCCTGTTCATTAGCAGTTGAGAAAAATTCCTTTCTAGTTTGATCAATCCTTGTTTTCCTCGCAGAGCTGAGGCGCCCGCCCAGCGCGGGGACGGGGAGAGGGGTCTGTCCGCGGCGGGGGCATTCGGCGCCGGGCCTCGGGGGAGCGAAGAAGTGGTGACGAGGGGGTCAGACCGGAGCACCGCCGGGGCTGCTCCCTCCCTTTCGCGTTTTTTTTTTTTTTTTTCCACTTCTCTCCCTCCCCCTTCCGTTTCTATTTGTGAAGGGAGGAGGAAGGCAGAGGCGGGCTGGTGTCTCTGGCCGGGGACTGGAATTTCATCTGAATGACTGCCCCTGCGCGCACGCAGCGCCCCGGAGTCAGCCTGCCTGCGCCCCGCACCCCACACCCACGGACGGACTGCTAGCGGGGGTGCGTCCACGCTACGGCCCGGGGACCACTGACTCGCCTCGCCCGCATCTAGCCACCTTCTGCGCCGCCGTCCTCGCGCGCCCGCCCGATCCTCTCGGACCCCGGAGGACGCTCAGCGCCGGCGAGCCGAAAGAGAGCCACCATAGCCGCCGCCGTCACTGTATAGAGGAAGTATACAGCTGGGGACTCTGTCCTCCGTGGGGCGCGCCCCAATGTCAGAAGCGGGCCCGACTGCAGGCCGCGGGCCGCTGCTGCCTTAACCGCGCCGGCAGGGAGGCGGCCTCTTATATGGAATTTGGACCCCGGCGCTCCCTACCAGGGCTGGTGCCCGGGCTGTGGCCCTGGCGCAGCCCGCCGCCTCCCGCTAGGCGCTCCCAAGAAGGAGGAGACGCAGCTGGCTGCGCGCGCGGCGTGAGGACCGAGGCTCCCTCCTCTGGGGGGCGGACGCACGGAAGGAGCTGGTGACTGAGCGACTGTCGTGGCCGGCTGGGGCCGGAGCTCGGGGCTCGGTGGACCTACAACTACACCGGACGGACCCCCAGGGCTGGGGAGTTGGGGAGGCCTGCCAGGGTCCCCTAAACGCAACCGCAATGGCGGAGAATTGGAAGAACTGCTTCGAGGAGGAGCTCATTTGCCCCATCTGTCTGCATGTCTTCGTGGAACCCGTGCAGCTCCCGTGCAAACACAACTTCTGCCGGGGCTGCATCGGTGAGGCATGGGCCAAGGACAGCGGCCTGGTGCGCTGCCCGGAGTGCAACCAGGCCTATAACCAGAAGCCGGGCCTGGAGAAGAACCTGAAGCTCACCAACATCGTGGAGAAGTTCAACGCCTTGCACGTGGAAAAGCCGCCGGCGGCGCTGCACTGCGTGTTCTGCCGCCGCGGCCCCCCGCTGCCTGCGCAGAAGGTCTGCCTGCGCTGCGAGGCGCCCTGCTGCCAGTCCCACGTGCAGACGCACCTGCAGCAGCCCTCCACTGCCCGCGGGCACCTCCTGGTGGAGGCGGACGACGTGCGGGCCTGGAGCTGCCCGCAGCACAACGCCTACCGCCTCTACCACTGCGAGGCCGAGCAGGTGGCCGTGTGCCAGTACTGCTGCTACTACAGCGGCGCGCATCAGGGACACTCCGTGTGCGACGTGGAGATCCGTAGGAATGAGATCCGGGCAAGTACCCTGCGCAGGCACACACACTCCTTGCCTGGGGATCTGCGTCTATCCGTCAGGACAGGCTGTTGTGACATCAGGCCAGAGGCCTCCTTCCAAACTCTACTACTTTGAAAGTTAGGGGGCAAGTCCTGGGAAGAGGGGTCCCTCAGCCCATTCTAGCACCTGTGCTCAGAAGCCTATTTTGAGAGTGAGTTATAGAATTGGGTTGTAGAGTTTGGGTGTTGCTTCTCTGTTTTTGCAGGCAGATCCCTCCCCCAGAGCTGTTTCTGTAGGCCCTAGGGGAAGTCACCAAGGCAGTGACCCCGGTCCTGCTTCTCCAGCTGCTGTTTACGTAATGAGTGTCCTGGTGCCATTGCTGTGGCTGACATGATGCTGGCATCCCAATGAGGAAATAAACAAAAGCAGCCATGTTAGTTTCAAGCTCTATTGGAAACACATGGGGGCCGGTGGGCTTCCAGAGGGAGCAAAGAACTTAAGAGTGTGTATATGGACAAGGGCTGGCCAGCCAGTGGAGTCTGGGACAGCATCTCATCCATTACGTTACTCCCCATAGCCCACCCTTTGGGTGAGAAGCTTTGCCCTGTATGTGCCTGTGTGCTGCAGTAACAGACCTTAGACCCTAATCCCTTTTCTCCCAGCCCAGCCCTCTATCTCAGCCCTCCCACATTTGGGGAGGGGAAGTAGCAGACGGAAAAAGAATCCTGTAGGTTTAAGGTTGAGCCGCCTTGAAATCTGGTTTCAGGCAGCTGACTCCCCTGGGCTGCCGACTGGGTGATTAAGGAGCCCGCATCCCCTCCCACTGTATACACCCTGCAGGGTCAATGTCAAAATCTCCTCCCTCAATCTCTTCCCTCAGGCCTGGCTTTGGAGCTGGATGGAGGCTCTACTTCCATCCTCTTCAGTGGAGGGGGACGCCTCTGAGGTCCCACCCCAGTCCCTTGGTGCTCACGGTTGAGTCATAGCAGAAGGAAGGGGTTAGCCTGATAACTGAACCATCTCAGGATCCCCAGCTTGGGGCCTGGGTGTGATACGGTGACAAGATTGGCCCTTGGGAGGACTGGGAGTGTTTATGGGTGGGGGCCCCTGAAGGCTAGTTGTGGCCTGTGGGGAGCTTGGATATGAGGAAGCTCTGAACTGGGGCTAGTTGTAGATGGACCTGTTTCCTGTGGAAGGGACCAGTCAGAATGAGTCACTGTTTAGCAATTAAAAAACATACACATACAACCAACAAAAGGCCGGAGGGCTGCCACAGGCTGAGGGCGGGGATAGCAAAGAAAATTTGCTATATAATTAGTTTCCAATAGGATGGGCTAGCTCTGGGGTTTTGTGCCAGGGCAGACCTCTGATTTCTGAAAGGAAGTGGGGTGGTGGTGGAAGAAGCCCCCTCCTTACCACCACCACCACCACCATTGGGTTGAGAAAGGCAGAGGCCTAGGGAAAGCTGATGAGCCCCTGATTGCCTTCCATCCCCCACGCAGGGCAGGCTGAGGTCTGACTTTCCCCAGGATTGGGAAGCTGCTGCTATTAATAAAGATGGAAGGGCTGGGAGAGGAGGCTGGGAAAAATACTGAGGCAGTGCTCTGTCCTGGGATTGGCAGCAGAAAGTGAGGGGAGGGACAAGAAGGGAATGTGCTGAGAAGGACAGAGGAGGGGGCCGCAAAGTGGGGTGGTGAGTGGATGTGTGTACTCACACCCAGTTGTGGTCTTAGCTGTGTCTGAGTGCTAGGGTGTGTCTTTAATTGAGGTGTATGGGGGAGTATATAATTGCACCTGATCTGGTAGTAAAAAGGTATCTAGCTGTATTTCTGAGTGTTTTTTGAGACGGTGGCTTTACCTTCAAATGCACCTGTCTCCCATCTGTATAGCTGGGGGATCGGAGTGGTAGGTAGCAAGTCCCTACCAGAAGGCCTCCCCAGTCCTCTGGCTTTTGGAAGGAACCAAGAAACCGGATGGAGGCAGGCACTGAAGTTAGTTAGCAGTGCTGTGTGTGCGTGTTCCTATGCCTGGTGTGGGCAGGCTCTGGAAGAGTGGGTTGTATCAGGGCCAGATGTGCAATTCTGTGCATTCAGCATCTGTGCCAGGCAGCCTGAGTCTCAGCCTCCTCCAGGCTCCCCTACCCCAAGTCCTTGGGGGTTCTTTTTGGTGCCCCAGGGCACTGAGGTTGGAAACCCTTCAATAGTCAGTCATTCAAGTGTGAATCTGACTTAGTGTGGAAGAAGAGAGGCCCAACTTTCCTGAGGGAGGGGTGGGCAGTGGGGAACCAAATGGATGAACCTTTCCTTTTTCCACCATCTCTAGACCAGACAGGGGAAGGGGACTTTGCTTGACCCCCTTTTATCTTGTATAACTGAGTCTGTCTTAAAAGGCCTTTGCTGGTGTGTGGATGAGGCCCCAGAATTCTCTGGGGTTTAGAAGCAGAAGCTCAGAGAGCTGGCAAATGCCTTAGAATACAGCTGTTTCTTGTTCTTCCTCTTCTGCTTTCCCAGGGCAGGCTGCTGAGATTCCCTATTTGTTGGAAATAGAAAGCCCTGATAAACCCCCTCCCTGGTAGCCCCCCATTTGCATACTCACAAGCACCCAACTCTATACATGGGCCAGGGGCCAATGACCTAGAGCAGTGCTACCATTCTGCCCCTGGGGAGCCAATGTTGCCCTTCGGGTGGGTAGTGGGCAGGGGAAGGAGCCCAGAGATTCATCCTTACCTGGAAAGGAAGCTGTGCTCCCTTGGGTCTGTGGCACACTAAGGTCCCAAGATTGGGGCATCCAGGTGAGCAACCCTTTCTTCTTGTCGTGAGTGCTGTTGAGTCAGTTCTGACCCATAGCGACCCTTAATAGGGTTTCCAAGGAGCAGCTGATGAGCTTGAACGGCTGCCCTTGGATGGTCTCAACTCCGAGTGCCCTTTCTCTTATGACCTGTCTCAATAAGGAAGAAAGACAATCGAGCAGACCTAGGGATGTGTACAAGGGGGCTTCAAAAAGTTTGTGGAAGAATTCCATTATCTTTTAATTACTTTTTTCTACAGCCTTTGAAGCCTCGCACATGAGGAGCTGTGCAGGATGTGTGTGTGTGTGTGTGTGTGTGTGTGTGCAGAGTCATAGGTCTGTCATCTCTCAGGACCCTGTTCCTTATATCCTTAAGTTCAGACTTGAGAAGAGATATTCTCTGGGGAGGGGATCCCACTGCTGGGGCTAGTTTAGGGTTTGCAGCTGCATGGCCCTGGCTGGAGAGGTTTGTACTGGGTGATCTGTGGGAGGCTTCCCTGGGCCTGCAGGGGCTGGGGCTCTGCAGCACAGGCAGGAGAGGCCTGTTAAAGGTCTTGCTGGGTCCTCAGCAGGCAGACCATACCCTGAGGTCTTAACAGGGGTGGGGATATTGTGTGTGTGAGTGTGTGTGTGTGTGTGGTTGAGAGTCGTGTAGCTTCCCCTTCCTTAATTGTTGTGTCTGTAGAAGATGAGTCTTGTTTGGTCTTCCTCCCAGGGCCCCCACCTCCACCCCAGGATCCTGCTGGCATAGCGAGGTACCTCTCAGGCACCCCTTAGTGATTATTCTACCTTCCTGCAACTCAAGTGGCTATGCATGTGTGTCTGCAGGGTGTGTGTGTGTCTGTGTGTCCTTGGGCACCTGTGAAACAGCGTGTGCATATGTGCATACATGTATGCATGCATGCATGTGTGTGATAAAAGTGGGTGTCACCTGCCGGGCTTGCTGGGTCCCTTTAAGTTGAAGTTGAGTGTACACAGCATGGCTGTGCTGTGTGAGTCCCTGCTCCCGGCCATAGTAGTTTGGTGGTTGTGAGTCTGTGTTGTCTCAAGGGCCCAGGCAACCCTCACCTGGTTGGGGGATGCTGGGGAGGGGAGAGAAAGACGGGTTTACCTTCTGGTAAGCTGTTGACTAGGGAGGAGGGTATTAGAGACAGGAGCCAGCTGGGATGGGTCCTGTGATGTGCGGGGATGGGGGGTGCACGGAGAGGCAGTCTGGTTGGGCCTAGGAAGACAGGGAAGCTGGCTTGGGCCCCTGCCCTGGGCTGAGCAGGCGCCCTGGCCGAGCTCATCCTTGGCCTGGGAAAGCCTTCCTTCCCGGCTGGCCTGGCATTCAAACCCAGACAAAGGGGGGCTTTCTCTCTCGCCTCTTTGTTCTGCTGCCCTGGAGTGCTGCTCTCTGCATGGCAAAAGCTAATTCCGCTCCGCAGCTGATGGTCCTCAAGGCTTGCCTCTGAGTGGCTGCTTCTCCTTGCCTGGCTCCCACCCTCTCTGGGTCTGTGGTTCCCCAACCCAAGGCAAGCAGCTTTTCTGAGGGAAGGGCAGACTGCTGTGGGCCCCAGGGAAAGAGGAGAGGAACTGACTCCTGAGACTAGGGCTTGCATGGGGGGAAGGGGCTGGCAGCTGGGAGGAGGTTGGGTGGCATGGGGGTAGTTCTGAGCAGCCAGGGCTGGAATGACTGAGAGTCACCTGGGCAGGGACCTGAGCAGCAACCGGGCCTGGTTCCTCTGTTCTGTCCCTCCCCCACTATAGAGACTGCTGGTGCCAACCCGAGCCTTTGCTAAAAACCTAAAAACTTTGTCTGCCCCAGCCCCAGGGCCTGTTCCCTGCTGACCTTGCTGCTTTTCAAGGTTCACTTGAGGATTTTATTATTATTAGTTATTAACTTTTATACAGCCCAGAGTCCTCATGACCTCACCTGTCTGCCAGTCTAGCCTCACATCAAAAATGCCAGTTGGGCCTGGCCAGTCAGGCTCCAGAGGCTGTATATCAGTGTAGGAGGGTACAAAGACCCCTCTTCTGGCAGGGAGTGGGGGCCAAAGTACACAGCTTGTGGCAGAATCTAGAATGAGGGGCAACGGGTTTAAAGAGCAGGGCGTTCTGGGGCAGTGGAGGAATGGGAATAGGGTACATCAAGATTTCTTGATGCTTTTGCCCTCGAAGGCCCTAAGTCCTAAGGGTTCTGTTGAGTCGGTTCTGCCTGGCTGCTGAGATTCCTTCCTCGCCATGGAAGCCTGGTCCCTGGGTCTCAGAACTCAGTGCGTCTATCTACACGTGCCACAGAACTAGTAAGGGGCTCCCTCCCATTCCCCTAGTAGGGGGATCTGGTTGTACTGGCTTTTCCTGATTGGGAAGTGGGGCTTTGTGGCCCTCAGCAGTTTTGTGGGGAGGCAGACTGGGGATTAGGATGGAAAGGAAGCTGCTGGTACTGATCCTCCCCTTGCAGTGGGTACTGGTAATGGTGTACTGCAGGCAGGGAGGATTTCCCTCCTTCCCCCACTATCCCAGTGCCTGAGGTAATGGGCCCACCCCCATCCCTCAGGCATTGTTTGTAGTGTGAACAAGATTACTTGCCCCCTAGGGGGGCAGGCCCTGCTAGAATAAGCTGGCTGGTTTGCCTGCTCCCCTCCCTGTTCCCTGGCTGGCAACTATGGTAAGCTTGCTCCCCCTTCCTGCCCTTTCTCCCCACCCCTGCATCAAAGACAGGCACCTGGTGGCCTCTGAGCTGAGGGAGGAGAAATGAAACCTACCCACTATGCCCAGGAATGTAGGCCACTGCAGAGTCCCAGGGTCCAAGTACCACTAAGGAGGCTCCAAGAAAAGCCTGGAAGAGAAAGAGAAGAGACTGAACCTCCCTTCCCCCCTGTGGGGTAGGGGATGCCTCCCTTAGTTTTGCCTGAGGGGTTGGCCCTGAGCTCTGTGGGACCCTCACAGGGCCTCAACAGGGGCAGTAGGTAACAGTGAGACAGCCCCATTCCCATCTGCTAGGAACCAGGGGCTGCCTCCTTTCTAACCTTGATCTGATCCTCACTCCAGGTACCCCGAATCTGGCATTGATGAGCAGAGAGATTATGATATACAGATGGGGCCAGCTGGGAGCCTGGGCTTTCAGATGTTCTGGGCACTGGGATGGCAGGGGTGGCCTGGAACTTGAGGCTCCTGAGTAAGAGACAGGACAGCAGCAGACAAGAATTCAAGAGCCTGGTGTTTCAGGGGAGGAAAAGGCCTGACATTCTGGGCAGGAGCTGCTTCTGACCCTCTTGTCTTCAAGGTAGGCGTGCTTCCATGATTCGGGTCTTCAGGAGATCAATATGCATGAGGTGGGCCGAGGCTGAATGAGTGCGTGCGTGTCTAGTTGTGCACATGTGTGTAATGTTGTAGGATGTCAGATGTCTCCTTCCCCCTTAACTCCTGGGACCATTTCACAGGTGGGGACAGTACACACCCATCTCTATCCAGCCCCACCCCCAAGCTGTACTTATTTCCAGGCTCTGACCCCCAGGCTTCACTTGCTCCCTGAAATCCTTTCTGTGGGGGTTGGGTACCTGCTGGCTTTTGGAGTTCTAGTTCTTAGAGGTCCTGTCCTGGACTATTGAAAGGCCAAGTTTGGAAGGGAGTGCTCCAGACTTCCCCAGCTTAGAATCTGACAGCCTTACCTCCCACCTCTTTTCTGCCCCCACTGCCAGAGTCCTGGGTCTTTGTTTCCAAGGTAGCCAGCCACCTATGCACAATGTAATCTGACTGAAGTCTCTTATTGGCCTTGGTTTCCCCACATGTAAAAAGGGGTTGGAGGGAGGGAGAGAGTGAGGAAGAGATTAGCGATTTGTGGCTGCTTGTCTTTGGTGGAGCCTAAACTGGTGTGGTTCAGAATGGAGGTCATAGGCTCATGCTTGACGGAGACTCTGAGGCTCCTCAGAGGAGGAAAGAGAACTGCTCCTTGCTTATACTTACTCCTTGCTTGTACTTATTGCAAGCTAGGCTCTGGGGAAGCTATATTGCAAACTTTCTATTCTGTGCAAAACCCCGATGTGGTTTATTCAGTAAGTAGATCTGTTCTGCATCTGTGGGGTGTTCAGGCCTTTGTGTGGCCTGGCTGGGCAGTGAGGTGGAGAGAACCAGCCTTGTTTTCAAGGAGGCTGAGGCTATCAGAAGAGCAGCACTGTCCAGTAGGACTTGCTTTGATGACAGGGATGTTTCCTGTATATGGTTTCCAGTATGGGGGAAACCACTAGCTTATTTGGCTATGGAGCATTTGAAATGCAGTTGATAGAGCAGAAGAACTGATGTTCAATTCAGTTTATTCAAATTCAGTTGAAAGGTTTCCTAGAGGAGTAGCATCCTGGTGTGGCACTGTATGATAAGCAAACACTGGACTGCTAACCACTAGGTTGGTGGTTCAAGCTGCTCCTTGGAAACTCTATACATGGTTATTGAGTCAGAACCCACTCGAAAGCACTTAACAGCAGAAGAGGAGTAGGGTAAGCACTGTACTGCTTACCACAAGGTTGGCGATTCAAACCCACCAGCCACTCCTTAGAAACCCTTTACAGGGTCACTATGACCACAACAGTGGAGGAGGGCAGGGGCCCTGGTGGCATTGTAGGATAAGCACTAGACTTTTTAGTCGCAAGATCAGCAGTTCAAACCATCAGCCACTCTACAGAGAGGTGTGGCTTTCTGCTCATGAAAAGATTTACAGCCTCAAAAACCCTTTATAGGTAGGATGAACGTAAAACTAATATTCTCCCATGTAAACTGTCACATAATTCACAATAAAACATTTTTTGAAAATTAAAAACAACAACAAACCTTTATAGAGTTATGAGAAGGAGCCAATTCACTGACAGTGGGTTTGTTTTTAAGGGGTATAGAGGCATGGGGCTTAAGTTGAGCCTTGAAGGATAGACAAGAGGAGGGAAAAGCACTATGGACTACAAAAAACCATGAGCAGAGTCCATGGAGTTGAATTGAGCATAGTTTTGGGGACAGGATACCAGCCCACCTGGCTGAAAGGTTGTCAGAGAGCCTTCATCGCCTTGCTAAAGAACTCCTTGGAAGGAAGGAGTCACTAAGGGTTCTTGAGCAAGGGAGGGACCATATTTGAAGAGGTGTGTCTGGGGTGAGGAGGCTAACAAGGTGCATGGAGCAGCTGGGAGGAGAGGGTTGTAGGAACAGGAGATTAGAACTGGGAAGATCTGCTAGGTCTAACACTATCTCACTTGGTATGAATAGTCAGGCAAAACTCAGCTGAAGGAGCAGGTGTGGCTTCATGTAGTGAGGGAAGCTGCACCTACAAATCTAGGAGACTGGTCCCAGAGGACAGTCAGGATCTCCTTTCTGCCTGGGTTCACCTAATGAGCTGAGGGAGCCTGTAAGACTTCAGAGGCCTAGTGTCAAAAACACAGGACAGGGTGGCTGGCTTGATTGATGCCTTCTAGGGTAGGGTTGGTATGGCACTGTAGGATAAGCACAGGGCCACAAGATTAGTTTGAACCACAAGGTCAGGAGTTCAAACTCACCAGGCACTCCTTGGAAGCCCTATACACAGTTGCTATGAGTCAGAACCCACTCAGCGGCACTTAACAAGTGTGGGGCTAGTGTGAGGTGAAAACCAACAGATCTCATGACCTTGGCAGTGGTTTGACCCTCTGCACCTTAGGGTGCTCACCTCTTAAGGTGGGGCTCCCCAGAGAGAGGCTGCATTGCCTGGATGAGCATAGACCCTGCTTTCAGATCACCAGTTGTCACTAGCTATGTGACTTTGGGCAAAGTACTACCTATTTGAACCTGTTTCCTCTTCTATAAAATGAAGATAGTAACAGTACCTACCTCATAGCATTATAATGGAGGCCTGGTGTGGCATTGTGGGATAATGCACTGGACTCCAAGGTCGGTTTGAACTGCAAGGTCGGTGACTTAAACTTCTCAGAAACCCTATACAGGGTCACTATGAGTGGGAACTGACTCGACCTCACTTAATGGCAGTGACAACAACAACATAGCATTCCTGGGATGATTAGATATGTCAGTACAGGAAATGTGCATGGATCAGAGACAGACCTCACCCTGCCTTCAGAAAACTCATGATTTAAGCTAGTCCAGATTCTTGGTGACTGGGGTCCAAGACTAGCCAGCCAGTCTTTACAGGTTCCCTGGAATTACAGGCGAGGGTGCAAAGTGTCTGGGTGGCAGAGATTTTAGGCCAACTGGATTAAAGAACCTAAGGGTGAGTCTCTTTATAGAGGGGAGGGTGATGTGCGCTCATCCTTGGGAAGGGAAAGAGCCACAGGCCTTTTCTGATGTCCCTTACCCCACTGTCCCTGCAGAAGATGCTGATGAAGCAGCAGGACCGACTGGAGGAGCGAGAGCAGGACATTGAGGACCAGCTGTACAAACTCGAGTCTGACAAGCGCCTGGTGGAGGTAGCAGAGCCTTAAGCCCTGTGGTATGGGCTGGGGGTGATTGGGGGACAGGACTTTGAGTTAATTCCTTACTTACAATCTTCCTTCTGATCAGCTGCTTGCCAGAACCCCTTGGCCAATCATTTGATGTGGTTCACCCCCACTGATGCCAGGGGTGGTGACACAAAGGCCAGCCCTTGCTTTTGGGATCCCAGGGCAGCCTGGAGACTTGAATAGCCGCCCACTCCTGCCCCTGTGTCTGCAGGAGAAGGTGAACCAGTTGAAGGAGGAGGTACGGTTGCAGTATGAGAAACTGCACCAGCTGCTGGATGAGGACCTGCGGCAGACGGTGGAGGTCCTGGACAAGGCCCAGGCCAAGTTCTGCAGCGAGAATGCGGCGCAGGCGCTGCACCTCAGCGAGCGCATGCAGGAGGCCAAGAAGCTGCTCAGCTCCCTGCAGACGCTCTTTGATAAGACAGAGGATGTCAGCTTCATGAAGGTGGGCCAGGGCTGGGTTTAGGCTGACCTAGGGGACTCCTCCTACTTTGGAAGCTGCAGTTTTCCACTCTTCCAACCATTCACCTCCTGCCAGTATGCTCACAGGGCCTTGGCTTTGGAGCCAGCCCTCACTGATTTCCTCATCCTCACTCCTCAGTCTTGGGCAAGTCACAGCTGCTCCCTATCCCTCAGTTACTAATGCAGGTCTACTGCCTTTTATCTGCAACTTCAAATTTTAAAAATAACAGAAGATGGAAAGAAAAGAGATTTTGCAACTTAACTAATGTCAAAAACTGTCCTGAATGGAGATTGGGCAATTTATAGTATCTATCTCACTTGGTACGAATATTCAAGTGTTTTGCTACAAAAAATGTCGACTCTTGCTTTTTTGGGGTATCACCCAGCTCCTACTGGGGGTGAGATGTAAAGTAGGGTACACACACCATATTTCTCTTGTAAAATCTAAAAAACTTCCAAATTCCAAAATGCATCTGGCCCCAAAGATTCAGATATCGGATTGAGGGCCTGTAGTACCTATCTTCTTGCCTACTTGTGTAGGAAGTACTCACAACAGTGTCTGTTGCATTGTAAGCACTCAATAAATGGTAACTATCCTGGTAGCATTGTGGTTGCGAGTCAAGCTGCTAACCTCAAGGTCAGCAGTTCAAAACTACCACCACCACCATCATTACCATATTAAAAAAATTACAGTCCCCTTGCCATGCTGGCCACTCCCACTCCCGCCCACACCCCAGTACCTTCTCTTCCCCTTGTGTTGTGTTTCCCATTGACTGACCCTCTTCTCTCCCCCCAGAACACCAAGTCTGTGAAAATCTTAATGGACAGGTGAGCGATGGGCGTTGGCTCAGGGGAACATCTGGAGGCGGGCAGGAAGGGCCAGGTCCATGATCGGGGGGAGGTGGACAGGCTCACCAGTGATAACCTCCTCACAGCAGATACCCTGTCCACTGCCCCCAGGACTCAGACCTGCACAGGCAGCAGCCTTTCTCCCCCTAAGATCGGCCACCTGAACTCCAAGCTCTTTCTGAACGAGGTGGCCAAGAAGGAGAAACAGCTCCGGAAGATGCTAGAAGGTAAGGGCAGGGTCCTCCATAGAAGAGAGAGCCCTTTGGACAAGGGGTCAAGGTCAGAGACTTTCCTCTGAAAGACAAAGTTAGACCTTTTCTTCTTTGCTGGCTTTGTCACATCTAGCTGTGGGAAGTTGGGTAAACTGAGCCTGTTTATTTAGCTGTAAAATGGGAATAATAGTATCTACCTCCTCTGGGAATGGTGAGCATTAACTGAGCTGATGCATGAGATAGTGTGGTTGGCCTGTAGCCTTGGAAAGTCCCCAGAGGGAGAGGAGGCCTGGGTTGCTTATGGGTGTGAGCTTTGGTGACTTTTGCCCCCAACCTCTCCACAGGCCCTTTCAGCACACCGGTGCCCTTCTTACAGAGTGTCCCCCTGTACCCTTGTGGCATGAGCAGCTCTGGGGCGGAAAAGCGCAAGCACTCAGCAGCCTTCCCTGAGGCCAGTTTCCTAGAGACGTCATCGGGTCCTGTGGGCGGCCAGTACGGGGCGGCAGGCACAACCAGCGGCGAGGGCCAGTCTGGGCAGCCCTTGGGGCCCTGCAGCTCTACACAGCACTTGGTGGCCTTGCCAGGTGGTGCCCAACCAGTGCACTCAAGTCCTGTGTTCCCCCCATCGCAGTATCCCAATGGCTCTGCTGCCCAGCAGCCCATGCTTCCCCAATATGGCGGCCGCAAGATTCTCGTCTGTTCTGTGGACAACTGTTACTGTTCTTCTGTGGCCAATCATGGCAGCCACCAACCCTACCCCCGCTCCGGCCACTTCCCCTGGACAGTACCCTCACAGGAGTACTCACACCCACTCCCACCCACACCGTCCGTCCCCCAGTCCCTTCCTGGCCTGGCAGTCAGAGACTGGCTTGACGCCTCCCAGCAGCCTGGCCACCAGGATTTCTACAGGGTGTATGGGCAGCCATCCACCAAACACTACGTGACGAGCTAACGCCACGCAGGCGGCAGGGTGCTGGGGATTCTTCCCCTCAGCCCCTGGTGGCTCGGGAATTATGCATTCAGAGACCTCCCTTCCCTCCCCTCTTTTCCTCTTTTCCTTCCCTCCATTCCCCCAGGTCTTCCTTTTTGGATTTGGTTTTATTTGGGGTTTTGGTTTGGATTTTTTTTTTTTTTTTAATCTTTTGGACACGAAGGTCACAGTGGGAGCTGGCCTGGGCTGGGGCCACAGGTGGCCCTTGGAGTTGGGAAGGTGTCTGTCTCAAGGCGCTAAACTCTCTTTCTGTCTCTCCTTTTTTCTTCCACTTTTTCCCCTTCAAACACCCTTGGCTGGAAGGAGCCTCATCTTCCCCTAAAGCCTTGGAGGGAGGGGTCCAACCCCTCACCCCACCCTGGGAGGAAGGACCAGTGCCCACCAGCCTGTTTCTCCCCTTGTTTTTCTTTTGGACGGTTTGATCACTGATTGAATAAGGAATGACCTGTAGATTGAGGAGCCTTTTTATTTTATTTTATTTTTTTTTAAAAAAAACAAGAATTATTTCTCCTGCTTCCTTCTCCTCACCATCCTCCCAGATGGAGTTCAAAGGCCACTTCTCAAGCAGCTTTTGGCATCTTCAGCCTCAGAGTGGAATCTTTTAAAAACAGGAACCCCATGTCCAGGAAAGGGGAAAAGGAACTTTGCCAATGATAGTGACCACAGCAAAAGCAAATAATAATAATATTAATAATAATAAAGAGAAATAAATAATAAAATTTAAAAAACAACAACAGCACAGCCCTTGTTGAGGTCAGCAGAGGGGGGGAGGGGCTGCCCCAAGTTGGGTCCTTGCCTGGGTTTTGACACAGCAACTTCCTGTATCGAGCGCTTTGTAGGAATCGTGGACTTCCTGTTCTCAAGGCGCAAGTATTTATTCTGTAATCTGTCTCGCACACACCGGAATCCAACCTTCTAATAAACTACTGGCGCAGTCCCACTCCCTGCTTTGCCTCTTACCCCTAGACCCTAGGCCGTGGTCTTCAGACCATGGTATGGGTGGGTTTCCTTGAGGACACAAGTTCTGGCCCTCCTTGCCTTGATTCCGTCCTCTCCAGTCTAACATGTTCCACGTCTGTGCATGTCAGTTTGTCAGGCACTAACTCACTCTACTCTTGGCCTTGGCTTCATTTGACAAATATTTGCAAGGGCCTCCCAGGCCCAGCCCCATGCTACAAAGGCCTTGGCATCTCTTTGAGGTCCTGCCAATGTGCTCTTAGCTAGGACAGACAAAGGAGAAACACCTTTTGGTGAGTCTTGCAAAATTTGCCTCCTTCAGTCCACAAATATTTATTGAGCACATACTGAGTGCCAGGTGCTATGCAGGACCATGGGCTGAAAGGTAGAACAGCCCTGTGCTAGGAGCTTAGCCTTGGCTTCCATGACAAGAAGGTCACTTGGCTGTACACTTCTTTTGGTGACCAGCAGCTGCCCACTGTCCCTGAACTGGAGGAGGGGAGAACAGGGGAAGTGATGAGCTCTCATTGGCTGAGGGGAAACCTCACAACCTGCTTCAGTGCTTTGGCCCTGGGAGGGGTGAGTGCAAGCAAGATGAAAAAGATATCCCACCCCCACCCTCTTTCACAGAGTTTCTCAAAATCTCAAGATGGTCTTGTTAAGTGCCAACGAGACAGTTCAGACTCATAGCAACCCTGTATAGGGTTTCTAAGGAGCAGCTGGTGAGCTTGAACTGCCGAGGTACAACCTGACCTTGCAGTCCAGCACGTTAACCCAAAGTGCCACAAGCTGGTCTTAGGAGTTGGTTAAAAGGCTGATTCCTGAGGCCCTACTTGGTCTCTGAGGGCCCAGGATCCTGCATTTTTCACTCTGGTTATTCTGACTGAGAAGTGTTGCCATGAGAGGCTGGACAAGGTCCTGACTGATGCTTATCACAGTGACCCCCCCTCCCCCAGTGGGGTGGAGTAGGACACACCAAGGCCTGGGGTTGGAAGGAGGCCTAAATTGTAAAAAGGCTCTTAATTTGTTGCCTGGATCTACCTGTGTTGTAAATTAGGAGGGGGCCTACCTTCCCCTTGCCTGGGCAGAATTTGTGCCTCAATACCTCTTATCCCAGGAAGTCTAGACTAAAGCAAGTGTCCCATCAGTAAGCCCAAACTTTGCTGACCCCTAGTCACACTCTCAGAAAAAGATTTAGATGTGAGGACATGTTTAGGCCATGCCCCCTGGGCAGTTGGGCTGGACCTGACCAAACTAGAGTCTTAGACCTGCTAAGTGCCTCCCTCCTTTGCCCTGTAGGAGTGGAGTAGACATGTCTTGGTTGGGTAGACTCTTGCTTCATTGCTCTCTCCAACTTGGCAAGGAGCTGGAACCAGAAGCAATATGACAAGAGCTGTCTGGCTTCTATTTCCCCTGCACCTGTTTAGGGGCTAATAGAGGGGCAGCTGTCTGGAGAACAGCACCCCTCCAGCCCAAGGTGAAAGGATGCCTGGGGACAGGCTCTGATGGACAGTTCCACACAAAGTGGAGGCATTTAACTCCACTTAAATCTCCTGTCTCCTGTCCCTTTAGTTCAGGAACCTTGGACATTCCAAAAGTTGGTGGTCAAGATAGAAAGCTTCCGGATTTCTTTCCTGTTTGGGCCTAGTTTTGGTTTAGTTGATGGGAGGGCCATTTCTCTAGGTACATCAATCAGTCAGATATGAAGGGGAAATGCTGGGGAGAGTGGAATAGACCTGTACCCCATGGGTTTAGCTTTGAAAGCCTAATCAGACAATTACACACTCGGCACACAACTGTAGGGGAAGCGACCAGCTGCCAGTAGAGTGACCTAGGGGTGCCAACGGCGGCTGGGAGATGCTAACCCCATCCAGCCGTCCCCAGTCAGCCAGCTGTCCCTGGCTTTGTAGGAGCAGCTGTCACCCACCTCCCCAAAGAGACGGGGCAGAGAAGGCACAAAATGAGCAGGGGTGTGCTCCAGAAGGTGTCTAGGGCCCTTTCCCACCCTGACCTGGTGTGCACACCTAGACCCCGCACCACACCCAGAGTACACACCCTGTGCCTCACATCCGTTAACTGACTCCAAAACAGCACTCACCCTCCCCTACAGCCCTAGGCGGGGCCTCTTACCCTCCCCACTAGGCCATCGCTCCTCCCTTTTCCGGGAAGGGCAGGGTGTCGCGGGCCCAACTCGCCCCCACCCGGTCGACTGGCCGGGGGCGGCGGCCCTGGGGCCCAGATGTGCGAAGCCTGCGGGGAGGGGGCAATCGCTGGGGGGTTTCCTCCAACTCCACCACTGCCAGCCCTAGCCCTTTCAAGTCGCCGCCCTCCGGGCCCCAGCCTGAGCGGTGCAGCTGGCCCGCTCCCGCCCTTCCCTCAGCCCGCTCCCAGCTGTCTCTGGGGTGGGGCCGGGCAGCTGGGGAACAGCTGCAAGGCGGGGGATGGAGGGGTGTCCAGCTGCCCCCAACAACTGCCGGAAATAGTCCCTGCGCCGAGGAGGGGCGCAGGAGCCCGGGGAGGGCGAGGCCGGGGGCATCTGGCCGGGGACGTTAAGAGCTGGCAGACCCTACCTAGATCAAAGCCCCCTCCCAGCTTCAAAGGGCACTCTGAGGGCGGGGAAGGGAGGCTGGGGGACAACCGAGAACACTCTGAACACGGCTCCGCTGAGTCAGTGCCCTGAGACCCCACGTTCTGGTTCTTACTGGTCTTGCTCACCCCCACCTACTCAGACCTTCTCATTGTCACCACGCCCCTTCCTCAGAAACCTTCATCTTCTTCCATCTGAGGGGTAGGGAAGAACCGGCTCACACTCTGGAAGGGACCTGGCTCCCTAGTGGTTTCCCTACCCAACCCCTGCCCCAAGACCTGTGAATCCTGGGGCTGGGGAAATCTCCCCCAACCTACCCCTGTAGGTCTGCAAAGAAACACTTGTGCTCATTTTACCTTAGTAAGGCTGTGGGGTGAAGGAAGGTGGAATCATGAGTTCTGGGTTGCTTTGGACAGATCCCTCTTCTAAAGTGAGTCCTGCTCGATCTGGTTTTAGAAAACTTCCTGGAGATACTTTAGAAACAATTATCACAAGAACCTGAGATCTTGGTCATGGTTGCAGAACCCTCTGAGTACTGTTTGAGTTAAAGGGACAAGGAGTGGAATTCAGGCCACTCTGTACAGAAGTGCTGGGACAAGGGTCTAGGATTCAGGCTCTTCCAAGGCTTAACATTCCGGAAATATCTTTGGGAGACTGAGAGGAATGGAAAAGAGATCAGAATGTGGGGATAGGGACAGCTAGGGTTGTTGTGATGAGAAGTTAGGAGCTTCAACCAGGAGTGTACTGGCCTTGAAAATCAGCTTCTTTCAAGTTTCCCTTTCTCTCCACAATACTTTGCCCTTTTCATTTGCTGCCCATAACACTCTACCCTTTTCATTAGAACCCTAAAAGTGTTCTTCTTTTCCATAGTAGGATGTGTTCTGTCTCTCCTTGAATTCCTCCAGTGACAGAGAAATCACAAACTCAAGAGATCCCCTTGCGTAATGACAGTTCTTCCAAAATAAGACATGAGAGTTTGCAGAGTAGAGCTTTCAAGCCAAAAACCAAACACATTGCCAGGGAGTCAGAGTAGAACTGCCCCATAGGGTTTCCAATACTATAATCTTTATAGAAACAGACTGTCTATCTTTCTACTGTGGAGAGGCTGGTGGGTTCTATTAGCAGTTGAGCTTTGGGCTCCACCATGTTCGCCACAGTGTGTAAAAATCACCCTCTCCTGAGTGAGGGAAACCTTCAAGATGCTAGGCTGCTTCCCTCAACTCTCTTCCCCTGGCATTTCTGATGTTGGGAGCTGTCAGTAGACGTATCTCATGGTTCTTCACTGAGGGTGTGTTTTCCTCCACGATGGTTCTGAGTCGTGGAGTCGGTTCCAACTCATAGTGACCCTGTATAGGGTGTCTGAGGCTATAAATCTTAAGGGGAGCAGAAAGCCTCAACTTTCTCCCATGGAACTGCTGGTAGTTTTGAACTACTGACTGTAAGATTAGCAGCCCAACTCAGAACTACTATGCTACCAGAGCTCCATGTTTCCTCCATCGGAAACTAGTTTTCTTTAATTGCTATGTGGTTTATTCCTCTCAATTACAGCAAGCTGGGATATTTATGACTTCTCCTCACACTAGATCTTCAATAATTGGGTCTGTCTTGAGAGAGAACCCATCTGCTCTGTGCTATAGGTTATCTGCAATACTTACATGGAGGGTTAAAGAAGAGCATGATGGGAGCAGGGTGCTGGTAGCATGGTTTTCAACAGCTTGGAGAACAGGTGGGTTTGAAGTGGCACAAATTTCATCTCAAAATTTCAGGTCAGAGGTGGAATGGAGGAAGAGAGCCCAAGAATGGAATGCTGGGGTGGCACAGGCTTGTGTCCACCTGGAAAAATGGCATTGAGGCATTTGATGTATGGATGCCCTGGTTGTCTGGTGGTGAAGGGAATACTACCACCTGACACTCTTCTTATATATGCCTGCTGAAGGGCACTGAGCAGGGAAGAGGCGTGGGTGCAAATGGACAGTTCCTGGCCCAACAGATAAGGATTCACCAACTACATCAAATGCTGTCCTCACCAGCTTTAGCTCTCTGGGCTTTGCACATCAAACCATAGCTTCAAGTTAGTTCTCCAACTTCCGTGTACTTCCACATCCCAATGGCTTTGTACTTCCTGACCCCTCTGCTTGGATTGTTTACTGAGGGGAATCTACTTACCCTCCTCCCTCTCCTCTCCTCTGTGCAACCCTCCCCCACCCTTTCTAAAGGTGTTCCGAGTAATGAGATGGTGCCTGTGAAGTGCCAGTCTGGGTGGCCTAGTTAGCCTTCAGGCACTGAGAGCTGTCACAACGTGTATTTTCCTTTGGGTCAGCCATACTCCTATGCACTTAGCTCTCTCACTTGGTATTTCAACTAACTGTGGGTCCTGGCTCTTTCATTTATTTAAC